ACCTGGGTCAGCAGGCGGCTTTACAGGGTTAAAACCTCAACATATCAAGCAAATGTTAAATCCTGCGGTTGGTGATGCTGCACAAGATCTTCTTATGGAACTCACAAGGTTCGTCAACATGTGTCTGGCTGGTGAGATACCTGAGGTCATCAGGCCTCTCTTTTTTGGTGCCTCCCTCTGTGCTCTCAAAAAGAAGGACGAAGGAATCAGGCCAATCGCTGTTGGCAACACTCTCCGACGCCTGATTGCCAAGGCTGCTACGAGGGTTGTCAGCCAGCAAGCGGCTGAATTGCTGAAACCAATCCAGCTAGGATTTGGAATCCCCCAAGGCTGTGAAGCGGCTGCCCATGCAGCACGAGCATACATCACAAACATTTCTGATGAAAAGGCCCTGCTCAAACTGGACTTTAAGAATGCCTTCAACATGGTAAGAAGAGATGCAGTACTTTGTGCCGTACATCGCCATTTCCGGCCCCTCTACCCGTTCATACTATCGTGCTACAGTGGCGAGTCAAAACTGCTCTTTGGTGAACATGAAATCAGATCATGTGAAGGTGTTCAGCAAGGTGATCCTCTTGCTCCCCTTCTTTTCTGCTTAGTCTTAAAAGAAATCACCGAAAGCTTGTCCAGCGAGTTCAACATCTGGTTTTTGGATGATGGCACTATAGCTGGCACCGTAGACCACCTCTTGTCAGATATCAGGAAAATAAGGGAGCAAGAAGTAAGCCTGGGTCTCGTCCTGAACCCTTCCAAGTGTGAAGTAGTCTCCTCCAACCCAGACATCGTAGCTAGAATAAGGTCTGCCTTGCCTGGAGCCCATGTCATTAGGGCCGAGAACAGCACCCTCCTTGGAGCTCCCCTCGGGTCTAACGCCATTGAGGAGATCCTCGACAAGAAAATCGCAGACCTTAGGAGGATGGAAGACAGAATAGGTGACATCGATGCCCACGATGCTTTTTATCTCCTCACCAAATGCCTATCCCTTCCGAGGCTAACCTACTTTCTGAGGTGCGCCCCATCTTACAACAACCCAAAGCTTGACGAGTATGACCTCCTACTGAAGACCATGCTGGAAAAAGTTGTTAACCTCTCTCTCAACGAATGCCAGTGGAAACAAGCCACTCTTCCTGTCAGGCTCGGTGGCTTGGGTGTCCGCACCGCCACCCAAATTGCAGTCCCAGCCTTCCTGTCTTCCTCCTCAGCATCAGATGACCTGGTTAAGGAAATTCTACCTGACACCCTGAGTGATGTAGCGGGGATACAGGACCCCCACTACACGGAATGTGACACGAAATGGGGTGCCATGACAGACCCAGCACTCAGACCAGCCATGCCGAAAGCCAAGAAACAATCCAGTTGGGACAGCCCCATTGTAGACAAAGAAGCCACAGCTTTGCTGGAGGCAGCAACAACCCCCAGTGATCGTGCACGCCTCACAGCTGTGCAGGCTCCCCATGCAGGGGACTTCCTTCTGGCAGTCCCTATGTCTGCGACAGGCACACGTCTTGATCCGCAGGAGCTCCGTATTGCAGTCGCTCTCCGCCTTGCTGCCCCTATCCACACTGTTCACAGGTGTATTTGCGGCGAGGCAGATGCTGACGAATATGGATTGCATGGCCTGCACTGTGGAAAATCGGGTGGTTGGCACACTAGACACGACGAAGTCAACGACATCATTAAAAGAAGCCTTGCCTCTGCTCAGTGTCCAGCGGAGAGAGAGCCCCGCAACCTACTGAACCGTGACTCTGTTAGCTTTGCCGGCCGACCAGACGGAATCACACTGCGTCCGTGGAAGGGTGGCAGGCAGTTAGCATGGGACTATACTTGCGTATCCACCCTGGCAACGACATACATCACCCTCTCTGCCGGCACGGCAGGAGCCGCAGCGACACACAGAGAAAAACAAAAGTCAGTCAAGTACAGGCAATTAGATCAAAGGTACAATTTCGTTCCAATAGGGTCTGAGACCCTAGGCCCATGGGGTGAGAGTGCAAGAAGGTTTCTTAAGGATCTTGGTTCCAAGCTCATTGACACCACAAGAGACCCTAGAGCAGCAAGTTTTCTCTTTCAGCGCCTCAGTGTCGCGATCCAGAGGGGAAATGCCCGCTGCATCCTCGGTTCCTGCCCGGCGTCGGAGGAGTTCGAGGAAATCTACAGCCTCTAGGAAGCGAACTTTTTCTTGTGTCCTCTTAATGTTCATTTTTTGTATAAAATCAGATATGTAACTGTATAACCTTGCATAATAAAGTGTACATCATAATAAAAAAAAAAAAAAAGGGGGTGGTAGGAGAAGTGAACACTCTTTCGTATTCAGAGTTAAATGTCAAGTTTTTCCCTGAGTGCTCTGTGTTCCCTTCTCTGAGGCTGTGGGTCCCTATAATTACACCAGTGGTGGTACCCCCCTATTATATATATATATATATATATATATATATATATATATATATATATATATATATATATATATATATATATGTCGTACCTAGTAGCCAGAACGCACTTCTCAGCCTACTATGCAAGGCCCGATTTGCCTAATAAGCCAAGTTTTCCTGAATTAATATATTTTCTCTAATTTTTTTCTTATGAAATGATAAAGCTACCCATTTCATTATGTATGAGGTCAATTTTTTTTATTGGAGTTAAAATTAACGTAGATATATGACCGAACCTAACCAACCCTACCTAACCTAACCTAACCTATCTTTATAGGTTAGGTTAGGTTAGGTAGCAGAAAAAGTAGGTTAGGTTAGGTTAGGTAGGTTAGGTAGTCGAAAAACAATTAATTCATGAAAACTTGGCTTATTAGGCAAATCGGGCCTTGCATAGTAGGCTGAGAAGTGAGTTCTGGCTACTAGGTACGACATATATATATATATATATATATATATATATATATATATATATATATATATATATATATATATATAGGTGCCCGTCGCACCTGCCCCACCACCCGCCACACAAGCTGATGTCTGGGCCACCGCGACCTAGGGAAGGCAGAATATATCGTGCTCCACACAAGTTAACACGTCTCATTAGTAGACTAAGCCTTGGCTTACGTGTACTAAGGGAGGTGGCAGCTTGAAGCCAATATTCCTGCATCATTATTTCCTTTGCTATATTTACTTTGCTATTACTCACTTGTCTTAACGTAACTTTTCATTTGCCAGTGATTATTCTTATTATTTTGTTTGATTGATTTATCTGTTACAATTTTTATGCCCAATTTTATTCATGTCTTGCTTTTCTAACGTAATTAAAATTTCATTGTTAAATTTACTTGTGTTTTGTGTGTCTTCCCATTACCTTACCACAGACGAAAGTTCCAGCTTTTTTCTTTTTTTTTCTTTGTGACGAGGTACTTCTTCACAATATATATATATATATATATATATATTGTGAAGCAGTTCCCAAAACACGTCTATTTTCGTCTGTCGAGCTGATAACATTTTCAAAACTTTAAGAATCTTAATCATATTTCATTAACTGTATCTTAACGAATTATACAGGGGATATATCAACACAAATATCATAGTTATGATCTATTGATTTCTCTAAACCTAACTAAACTTACCTAACATAATCTAACTCAACCTTAGCTAACCTAAATGTACCTATCTAACATTATCTAAAACCATCAAACCTATTCCATTTATTGTAATATAAGAGCTAGAGAATAAGAGTTGGAGAATATAACAGATAATGTGAGAAAAAGAGAGATCTTGAGACTGAGACAATGAGTGGCAAGTTTATTACGTATAAACAAAGGCCAAAGTCCATTCCATGCAGCCGCAAAACCCCCAGTTTATGAATAAAAAACGGTTTACACACGACTCACGACTGATGACGTCCGAACACTTCTGGAATAAGTGCTTCACTGACGACTTTTGTTCGAACCACAACACTGTAAATGCTTCACCACATAATACAAATACAAATAATCGCCAACAGAACCTAGACACCTACCTAGAGGTGCTTCCGGTGCTCAGCGTCCTCGTGGCCCGGGCGTCGATCAGGCCTCCAGGTTGACTAACCTAACCAATGCCTAAATATGCACAGTATACTAATATATAAATAATAGTAATTTATCTTTGAGAAAATTCCTATTTTGAATGAACAACATGTTAAAATGTATGAATGAGGGTCGATCGGTGGATGGAATTTACTTGGTCTGTTACGATAATAGCTTTCTGAATCGCGACGTAACCGACAAGATGGCAGTAAGAATGAAAAGTCTCGTAAGTACTTGGGTAACTGCTTCGTGAATCCGGCCCCTGTTTATTCAGCTCGTCCTCCAAACAAAGATCCAAAAGTGATTCCATGCACCCGCCAAACCCCCTGTTTATGGATGAAAAGGGGTTTACACAAGACTCACAACTGCTGACGTTCGAACATATCCGGAACAAGTGTTTCACTGACGAATTTTGTTCGAATCACAACGCTATAAATGCTTCACCCACGTACTACAAATACAAATAATCGCCAACAGAACCTAAACACCTAACCTAACCTATCCTATACCTATATATACACAATATGCTAATATATTATAATATTAATTTATACTTAAGAAAATTCCCGTTTTGAATGAACAGCATGTTAAAATTTATGAATGCGTCTGTGGGGTTGAGTCGAGGACGGGTTGGTTTATTACTTCGCCTAGATTATAGTTAGAAATTCGTCACTGTTTACGGTTGGTTATTCATATTTTAGTTTGGGTTATATTTAATACTTCATTGATAACCTCACCGATTAAATCCATTCATCCACTTGTATACTTCAGTCATGTCACTCCTAACTCTTCGCCTTTCTAGAGAAGGTAAATTAAGCTTTTTCACTCTCTCTTCATATGGAAGATTTATAACTTGAGGGATCAACTTTGTCACCCTATGCTGGACGCATTCTATTGGATTTATGTATATTCTACAGAATGGCGACCAAAAGCTTGAACAATCTCGATTAATACATAAAGTAAATAATTGTGCCATTTTCTGCACCAGGTTCGCCAGTGCGCCAGAGCTTACTATAGCAGTAATAATAATGGCGCACCATGACGCTGTGGTTATAGACGACCCCAGCTCCCCTGGCGGCAAGCGACTCACTTACAGTGGACCAATAACCAACGTCATTCGCTACCTGGCAAAAAGTCTCAACTTCACGTAAGTCTATTGCCTGAGTCATTGATATTATTGTTGTAACGTGTTACACGATGTACTTTCAAGCTACGTTATTTGTTGCCTCTTTGTTACCTAGATTTATTGGCTATATTTTAGCTATTTATTTCCTGTTTATTATGTATTTGTTGTCTAGTGTTACCAGTATGCTACTAGGAGAAGGTTGTTTGTGGTGTCTCGTGTTTTGTTGCATATTGTAGTGCAAATATTTTTAAAGCTTGAGGCTGTCCACGCCATTGACAGCGAAGGGACACTTAGTGCCAGTGTCAGCGGAGGCACTAACACCTCAGTGTCAGTGCCAGTGGAGGCACTAACACCTCAGTGTCAGTGTCAGTGAAGGCACTAACACCTCAGTGTCAGTGTCAGCGGAGGCACTAACACCTCAGTGTCAGTGCCAGTGGAGGCACTAACACCTCAGTGTCAGTGAAGGCACTAACACCTCAGTGTCAGTGACAGTGGAGGCACTAACACCTCAGTGTCAGTGGAGGCACTAACACCTCAGTGACAGTGGAGGCACTAACACCTCAGTGACAGTGGAGGCACTAACACCTCAGTGTCAGTGTCAGTGGAGGCACTAACACCTCAGTGTCAGTGCCAGTGGAGGCACTAACACCTCAGTGTCAGTGCCAGTGGAGGCACTAACACCTCAGTGTCAGTGCCAGTGGAGGCACTAACACCTCAGTGACAGTGTCAGTGAAGGCACTAACACCTCAGTGACAGTGTCAGTGGAGGCACTAACACCTCAGTGTCAGTGGAGGCACTAACACCTCAGTGTCAGTGTCAGTGGAGGCACTAACACCTCAGTGTCAGTGCCAGTGGAGGCACTAACACCTCAGTGACAGTGGAGGCACTAACACCTCAGTGACAGTGGAGGCACTAACACCTCAGTGTCAGTGCCAGTGGAGGCACTAACACCTCAGTGTCAGTGCCAGTGGAGGCACTAACACCTCAGTGTCAGTGCCAGCGGAGGCACTAACACCTCAGTGTCAGTGACAGTGGAGGCACTAACACCTCAGTGTCAGTGCCAGTGGAGGCACTAACACCTCAGTGTCAGTGGAGGCACTAACACCTCAGTGACAGTGGAGGCACTAACACCTTAGTGACAGTGGAGGCACTAACACCTCAGTGACAGTGGAGGCACTAACACCTCAGTGTCAGTGGAGGCACTAACACCTCAGTGTCAGTGGAGGCACTAACACCTCAGTGACAGTGGAGGCACTAACACCTCAGTGACAGTGGAGGCACTAACACCTCAGTGTCAGTGCCAGTGGAGGCACTAACACCTCAGTGACAGTGGAGGCACTAACACCTCAGTGACAGTGGAGGCACTAACACCTCAGTGTCAGTGACAGTGGAGGCACTAACACCTCAGTGCCAGTGGAGGCACTAACACCTCAGTGACAGTGTCAGTGAAGGCACTAACACCTCAGTGACAGTGAAGGCACTAACACCTCAGTGACAGTGAAGGCACTAACACCTCAGTGACAGTGAAGGCACTAACACCTCAGTGACAGTGTCAGTGAAGGCACTAACACCTCAGTGTCAGTGTGGTGCCTGCACCACACTGGTCTTGTTTACAGCAGGTGCCAGGTGAGGTGCTCTTCCTGTTTTATTGTCCACTTGAACATTTTATTTGTGCTAATCATATTCCTCATTTTTGTTGTTTCCCCTCCCGCCTCGACACACACTAAACCTTCAACCTGTTCTCGTTGCTTATATTTGTTGATATCAACATCAGTTATATTGTCCTTCGTTTGAGTTTTTCTGAGCTGCTTAATTTGTTTTGTTTAGTTTCTGTTATCATATAGCAGCTGTATATTCTAGTGAACGTTTCACATATCATAAAATTATATATTATATATTTTCCTATCCATGGACCTTAAAGCTATACAGATATATGAAAACATTTATTATAGCACTTTCATCTTTGCATTTACGTATTATTTAGCGAATTCTTAATGAATTCTCACTAATAATTTTCCCTTACACCTTTACTTTGAATAATTTCCTTAAATTTCGTTAACACAATCTATTACCCTTATGAGATCTGATTACCGTTACTGATTTAGAAAGAGGGTTCTTTTCTTTTCCTTATGTTCTTATGTTCACTAAAATAAGTCACCATCGTCATACTTAAACCACGTAGTAACAATATGCAGATAAATATGTATATAACATTTTTCTCTTTCCTTTTTTTATTTAACATTACGTATATTTAATGTATATGTGTATATATATAAACATATGTCGTACCTAGTAGCCAGAACGCCCTTCTTGGCCTACTATGCAAGGCCCGATTTGCCTAATAGGCCGAGTGATTTTCTTTATTTTCCATAAATTGTTTCCAATTGGTTTATTTGAATTATTATTATTATATTTTACTAGGAACGTAAATTATTGACTTAGTTATATTGGTTTAGATTAGGTTAAGATAGGTTAGGTTAGGTTAGGTAAGGTAGGTTAGGCTCGGTCACATATCTACTTTAGTTTTAACTCAAATTAAACAAAACGGACTCATACATAATGAAATGGATAGCTTTATCCTTTGATAAGAAAAAAAAATAGAAAAATAAATAAATTCAGGAGAACTTGGCTTATTAGGCAAATCTGACCTTGCATAGTAGGCCGAGTATTGTGTTCTGGCTACTAGGTACAATATATATATATATATATATATATATATATATATATATATATATATATATATATATATATATATATATATATATATATATATATATATATATATATATATATATGTTCATTTAATGTATATCATTTTATCACTTAGAAATCTGAAAGATGATTCCAAGGCATACCATCCATTCATTAGTATAGACGATACTAGTTATCTTGTACCTGGCCCGTCAGCTACAGGTACGTGATGCCTCCTGATGGTAGCTATGGTACGAAGACCAAAGACGGCTTTTGGACTGGCATGGTTGGACTGGTCAAAAGGCAGGTGAGTTAAGATTGGTCCCCTAGAGCAGGGTGATGGCTCCTGGTTCATTATGAGAAGGGGTGTAATTACTGGATTCTCACAGAACCCAATCATCAGTTCCTCCAATCTGCTGCATCTGAAGTCCCCCTCGAATGTCAGTGAAGCTCTCTCACACGGCTTCACACAAAGGACGTGTAGCTCCCTACACTACTTGAAGATTCACTACGTCCATGAAGTTCCACTCCTTATTGGAAGTTCTACTCCACCTTGTAGTTTAGCTCCCACTATGAGTTTCAGCTCTCACTTGGAGTTCAGCATACACTCCTCCTCTGGTACGAAGTTCTGTCATTAACTTCTCCTACACAAACGTTGCAGTTCTCCCACACAAACCTGCAAATCCATCATCATGCCATAATAAATGTTTTCCTAACAAAACATAACTAAATGTATTCACAAAAAATAAACTCCTCCACCCGACATGCTTTCAAATACAACGTCACTGCCGCGATGGGTCCTCCCCCATCCTGGGCGCGTTCACCTGGGAACATGTCCTGAAGCATCGCTGGAGCCGCTGCCGCCGGCCGCATTGCTGGCGGGGGGGGGGGGGGGGGGGAGGGGGGCTTTACCCCATCAGTCATCCACTGACCTCCCTCGAAAGAAGATGTACCACTCCTTCCTCCAGCATGTTCACTTAACTTAAATTTCCTATTTCAGCTTTCCCACATGGAAGGGGGGAGAGCTGTATATTTCTACCCTATATATACATATGTTCACTGTGATTACTAGGCACATGATCAAACACTGGTAGCTAATCAAACAAACTATTAAACAAGCTTACCAGAGATCTATAACGTAAGGGAACTCAGGCCCTGGTCCTCAACAATGGCCCTCACACAGGCTGCCCACAAAAATCACTATAGGACTGCTTCACAAGGCTTCAAGTCCTGACCTGAGTACACGGAGTCGCCCGGCAGGCTTCACAACAGAAACGCCTGCTTGCTTCCTTCCTCTTGAAGAAGCAACACAAGTTGAGTTCCACAAAGACGCAACCAAACACTCACTTCCAGACTGCCTCTAATTATCAAAATCACAGAGAAATGGTGCACTAAGTCCCCAACAGCTTCCTCACGCTTGCGAACAATGGTGCACTAAGTCCCCAACAGCTTCCTCACGCTTGCGAACAATGGTGCACTAAGTCCCCAACAGCTTCCTCACGCTTGCGAACAATGGTGCACTAAGTCCCCAACAGCTTCCTCACGCTTGCGAACAATGGTGCACTAAGTCCCCAACAGCTTCCTCACGCTTGCGAACAATGGTGCACTAAGTCCCCAACAGCTTCCTCACGCTTGCGAACAATGGTGCACTAAGTCCCCAACAGCTTCCTCACGCTTGCGAACAATGGTGCACTAAGTCCCCAACAGCTTCCTCACGCTTGCAAACAAGCAGCCTTCGCTCCACCACTAACACAGGGAACTATATTCTTCCTTCTTCCAGGAGAATCAACGAAGTACAACCATCTCTGACGACTATTGTAGCTCACGTGAGGTCACGACCTCCTGCTAGTGTCACGTCATGTCTCCAGAGTATCGATATCTCATTTCATTTCACTTATTTCAATGTTCATCCTCTGCTCACATTTTTTAATTATTCACTGACGTTTATTATATATTTAATATATACATCTTTCACCTGACCTCTCAATGAGGTCCGAAAGCAGAATAACTCTCACTGAGGTACACTCGTTCCACTCAGGCTACATGGGGTCATAACACTCGGTACATGGGTTTTTTTTCCGAATAGAGGTTTTATCCGAAGTTGATTCATTTTGGGTTGTTCTTTTCATGCAATATGGTTTGTAGAGTCAAAACCTCTTTCAATTATTCCAATGACCCTTTTTCTGTAAACGCAAGTGATCCTTACTTCAATATTTTATATATTAGCCTCTCAACTAAAAATAAATCTGTATGTATAAACGTGTTCGAGTCATACACAAATAAAATATTTGAGTCACTCTTCTCATAGATCTGTATATTTTCATACACCGCCATTATTCTCCCCAGTTAAATTAAAATCATGCTCTTAATTACATAGATAATGGTTCTTTTAATAATTTGTTTATGTTCTTCGGTCCCTTCAGGAGGCAGACCTCGCCATAGGACCTCTTAGTATCACACTCACGCGGACTGAGGCAGTGGACTTCACTTGGCCCATATGGTACGACAGCAGTAAGATTTTGGCTGGACGAGGGCGTCTGGAGGTGGACCCCTGGAGCTTCCTGTTCCCTCTGGAGCCGCTGGTGTGGGCGGCCACACTGGGGACGCTGCTGGTGCTGTCTGCTGTCACTTTGCTGGAGTATCCTTACCTCTACCACAGGAGGGCTTCCTTCTTCCTCTGGTTGGATGATACCTACAAATTTCTTCGGATATTTTTGCAGCAGAGTAAGTTTAAATTCACGTCAGAACTTGATAACTTGTACATATTTGTTAATATCGAAATGGGAAAATTAAAAATTGTGTACATTTTCCTTGAAGATATGCTCTGTACATGAATATATTAATTTGTTAATTAAAATATAATAAATAAACATTGCTAATTTACGAATACACAAAATGTCAGCAGAGTTTATTTTAGGTGACGTGATGCGAATAGACTATCAAGTCACATTTGATGAGGACAAGAGGAAAGTCATCTTCACAAAAGTCTACTCTCAATTTAAATTGTTGTTTCTCGGCATACAAATCACTTTGTACATTACACAGTTCGCCAAAAGACTTAAAAAGTTTCATAACTTAACCCAACATATTCTTAAGCTATTCTAATCTAACTTATCCCAACAGAAGCCATCCTTTACTACCCAGCCTAGCCTAACAAAACGATATATACCACTATAACAATTAGAAAACTAACTGTGTGCGAATTCGCCTATAGACAATATGACTGTGCCCCGTTTCTTAACATCATTGTTATAACTTTGTGTTGTTTGTTTAACCTGTTGCATGCAGTCGTGTCCGCGGGAGTGAAGGGCTGGTGGAGGAGACTCATGTTTGGGGCGTGGCTCTGGGCAACGCTGGTGTTGACGAGGAGTTACTCCGGCAACCTCATGTCTCTCCTGGCGGTGAGGTTCAGTCCTCAGCCCTTCCAAACCCTCCGTCACCTCATCAATGATCCTTCAATAGTCATGATATGGCAGAGCAACTCCATAAACGCTGAGTATCTTCGAGTACGTTGCACTCAACGTTAATGCCTAGCACCTCTGTTGTCCATCCAAGATGCTTGCCAGCTCAATAGTAGGCATCCGTCAATCCCGTGGGGTTATGGAGTTGTGCCCTGGGTGTCTAGTTGTTGTAGTCTAGTTGGATGCAGCGCCTGCTGTGGCTGTGAAGGCCAACCCGAGAATGACAGTCTCGACTGCAGCGAGCGCAGATAAACGCCGAAGCGGGTGCGTCTGACAGTGGTCGAGACCTCCTCTGAAATCTATTATCCTCCGCCTGCCTCTTCAGTTCATCCTCGAATTGCTGGAGTCCCTTCTGCACTTTACATCTCCAGGCAGATCTGTCCGCAGCTGCTGCCTCCCAAGTGTTGATGTCGATGTTCATCTGCTTGAGGTCGCGTTTGCAGGCATCTTTGAAACGCAGCTGAGGTCTTCCGGTGGGTCTCCTTCCTGATGCCAGTTCTCCATACAAGAGGTCCTTCGGTATGCGGCCATCGACCATGCGTGTGACATGTCCCAGCCATCGCATGCGTCTCTGTTTCAGGAGAGTGAACATTGAAGGGACTCCTGTTCTCTCGAGTACTGTGTTGTTGGTGACGTGGTCTTTCCACGTGATGTCAAGGATGCGTCTCAGGTTCCGCATGTGAAAGGTATTAAGCCGTCTCTCCTGGCGAGAGCGCAGGGTCCAGGATTCCGAGCCGTAGAGAAGTGTACTCACCACACATGCCATGTAGACTTGTGCCTTGGTGTGCACTGTCAGTTTGGCATTTTCCCAAACGCGCTTTGTGAGCCTGGCCAGTGTTGTTGCGGCCTTCCCGATACGCCTGTTGAGCTCAGTGTCCAGGGAAAGGGTGTCTGAGATTGTGGAGCCCAGGTACACAAACTCGTGAACTGCCTCCAGCACATAGTCTGCTATATTTATACAGGGTAGCTCATTGACATCTTGTCCCATCACCTGTGTCTTCTTCAGGCTGATTGTCAGGCCGAATGCGGAACAGGCTGCGGCAAAGCGGTTGAGTAGCTGCTGCAGGCCTTCTGCTGTGTGTGTGGTGATCGCTGCGTCGTCGGCGAAGAGGAACTCCCTGAGGATTCGCATCTGTACTTTTGTCTTTGCTCGGAGTCTGGATAGATTATAGAGCTTTCCATCAGATCTTGTACGGAGATAGATGCCTTCTGTGGTTGTTCCAAAGGCATGCTTGACGAGGATCGCGAAGAAGATGCCGAACAGGGTTGGAGCAAGAACACACCCCTGTTTAACACCACTGTTGATGTTGAATGGTTCAGAAGTTGAGCCGTCGTACACGACTGTCCCCTTCATGTCCTTGTGGAACGATTGTATCATGCTGAGTAGGATGGGTGGACAGCCAATTTTGGCCAAGATCTTGAAGAGTCCGTCCCTACTCACGAGGTCGAAGGCCTTTGTAAGGTCAATGAAGGCAATGTACAAGGCTTTTCTCTGCTCCCTGCACTTTTCTTGAAGCTGTCTCAGGGAGAACACCATGTCAGTGGTCGACCTCTCTGCTCGGAAACCACACTGTGACTCGGGGTACACTCTTTCGGCAAGAATCTGAAGCCTGACCAAGACGACCCTGGCGAAGAGTTTGCCAACGACGCTGAGGAGGGAGATGCCGCGATAGTTGTTGACATCGCTTCTGTCACCTTTATTTTTGTAGAGAGTGATGATGTTTGCATCTCTCATGTCTTGTGGCACCGAGCCCTCCCTCCAGCACTGGCACAGAAGTTCATGAAGCTCAGTTTAAGTGTTCCACGAGCGCACTTGAGAACTTCAGGCGGAATCCCGTCGTCTCCTGGGGCCTTCCCTGAGGAAAGTGAATCCACTGCTTTCTCAACTTCTTCCACAGTTGGTTCAAGATCAAGTTCTTCCATGATGGGCAGGCATTCAATTGCATCCAAAGCCTCTACGCTGACCAAGTTCTCTCTGGAGTAGAGTTCGGAGTAATGTTCCACCCAGCGATTCATCTGTTGATCACGGTCTTTAATGATCTCTCCAGTGGCTGACTTTAGAGGAGCCGTCCTGTTTTGTGTAGGGCCTGTTGCCTGTTTGATCCCTTCGTACATGCCTCTTATGTTGCCGACAGTGGCCGCAGTCTGGATGCTGGAACAGAGTCGAAGCCAGTAATCGTTAGCACAACGCCTCGCAGTTTGTTGAACTCTACTGCGGGCAGTACGGAGGGCCTGTAGGTTCCTTTCTGAGGGCAGGTTCTTGTAGGATGAGAGAGCTCGTCTCTTTTCCTCTACGAGGGGTAACAGTTCCTCTGCACTGGCCTCGAACCAATCTGCTGACTTGTTCTGCCTCTTACCGAAGGTGGACATGGCAGTGTTGAAAATAGTGCCCCTGAGATGTGACCACCTCTCACTTGCGCTATCGCAGGGTGGTACAGGAAGGGCATTTACCAGCGCCGCAGTGAATTCCTCCACCTTGTGAAGGTCACGGGTCTTGTTTACGTTAATGCGTGGTCTTCCCTCCTTCTTTGCTCTGTGGATTTTCCGGGGCTGGAACTTTACTCTGCAAACGACGAGAGAGTGGTCGGTGTCGCAATCTGCGCTCTGGAAGCTGCGGGTCAGTTTGACATTTCTCAGATTGCTACGCCCCGTAAGCACCAGGTCGAGTTGGTGCCAATGCTTAGACCTGGGATGTCTCCAGGAAACTTTATGCAAGGGCTTGGTGTCGAAGAAGGAATTGGTGATGCAGAGATCATGACGGCAGCAGAACTCCAGGAGGCGCTGCCCACTCTCATCCATCTTCCCAAATCCAAACTGGCCCAGGCAGGAATGCCAAGAGCTGTGATCATAACCAACTCTTGCATTAAAATCTCCCAGGAGGAAGACTGGCTCTTGTTGAGGTATGTCTCTGAGAGCTAGGCCGAGGTCATCATAAAACTTGTCCTTCGCTTCGTTAGAGGAGGTCAGTGTTGTGTCATAGGCATGGATGAGACTGACCATTCCTGCTGCTGTATGAAGCTTAAGTTTGATGATCCTTGCAGATCCCTCCATGGGCGGTACTATGGACCCTAACAACCTGTTTCTGATGGCAAAGCCAACGCCATGCTCCCTTACCTCTTCTGGTGGTTTGCCCTGCCAGAAGAAGGTAAAGTCTTTCTCCCGTATGTTGCCGGTCGCGGGGAGACGTGTCTCCTGCAGGGCGACTATGTCCATCTGGAGCCTGCGCAGTTCATTGTTGATCACAGCTGTCTTGTGGGCGTCGTTCACTTCCAGTAGATCTTCCGAGAGACCCGGTGTCATGGTCCTTACATTCCATGTGCCCAGTTTGAGAGCTGGGTGGCTCTGTGTTTGTTTTCTTTTGCCTGGTGCATGGGTTGACGATCCGCTTATTGGATTGTGGCCTAAGCCCCACGCACCCAGTGGAGCAGGCGGACCGTGGCGGGACAGCACCTTATTGGCTGGGGGCTGCCCAGCTTGAGGCGGGCGGTAGCTGTCCTATGAAATCGGATGATTTCTCCCACCGACGGAAGCAACCCCTGGCGCCTCACTCTACGCCAATTGAGTGGTAGGCTTATCACCGGTAACTGTCACTTCCCGTGTTGAGCCATCGCCAAGGCGATGCTGGAGTGTCCTCTCCAGGGCACAGGCCTGGGCAGTAATTATGGAGGATCAGCTGTTGCCCATGCAGCAGATCCACCCTCTCCACGCCACCGATGTGATCCAAGGGAAGGGCAGGCGCCGATACGCTTGGCACCAGTGTCGTCGCAGGAGTTGCCAGAATGTAGCTGTAAACAGCTGCAAACTGCCTTAGGGACTCCGACTCCGGATTTTTCCTCAGGGTTGACTCCCGAAGTCTTTCCCATGAGTGGGTTTAGCCACAAGACAGCAGAGGTTTGAATTCGGGGTTTTCCTTCCCCTAGATGAGCTGCCTTTCCAGGCTAACGAGTCCCATCTGCCCGAAGCAACTGGTTTTAAGGCGCCAGAGACCCGCCTTCGCCCCTTCTCCTGTTGGTAGAAGCAGTTCCGCCAGGCCTAGAGGCTAAGCCACACGTGCAGGCCAGGAGCTGGACTTGGTTGTCAGAGGCTATTTGAGACGCACGCCATCAGGGGCACTTTACAGGCTGTGGGAGCTTATCTCTACAACCCTTCCCCCCGGCTATAACAACCCTTGGAACCCTGTCTTCAGTGAAAACATGCAATCCGATTATATCAGAAAGGACTCCTCCCATGAAAGGTCCAAACCTAGGCTGACAGGAGCAATGAAACTCCTTGACAAGTTCAGTATTCTGATCAAATGGCTACTAGATTGTTAAGTCATTGAAAGCCGAAGTTATTCAATGACCCAACAGCTCCAATTAGACCACAGACCAGAAGTTCGTTTTCATTGACTCAATTCACTTTATGAAAGAAAACGAGCCACACCTTTGAACAACAATTGCAAGTTAATGTTCAAACTTGTGGCTCGTTTTCACTCATAAAGAAACTTGTGTCAATGAAAACGAACTTCTGGTCTGTGGTCTACTTGGAGCTGTTGGTTCATTGAATAGCTTCGGGTTTCAATGACTTTTAACAGTCTAGCAGCCATTTGGTCAGAGTACTGGACTTGTCAAGCATGGGAGGAGTCCTTTCTAATATAATCAGCTTGCGTGTTTGTGCAAGTTAATGTTTACACACACAAACACACACAGAAAACTGGTCTCGAGGGTCATGGGAGGGGGACTCGTCGCGCCGCGCTCGTCAATAAGGTTTCATTTTTCGGGACATCAGAGGGATACGCGGGAAATTCGGTGTTCAGTGATAATACAATGTGCAACACACCAATTAGAAACTAGCAAATTTGTGAATTGTGTCCGATAGTGCATATTAGACAAGATCAGGGGTACGACAACAGTGCCAGGACAAGCACGTTTGCCACTGCTTGGTCAGAGTGTACACAACTAGATGTGATGGTGAAGATTATAACAAATAGTGAATAGGGTAGTGAAGAAGTGATTCTAAACGTGTAGCATTAGAACTATATTAGTGCTAAGGGGAACAAGAAGCAGATTACTGGTGATGTATAGCGA